AATGTTTTAATGGCATTTAGCAGTGGCACTATGCAAGCTGTTTGTTCCCAGAAGAGGTTACAGATTACCTAATATATTTTTTCTGTATAAATTAATCTTTCCTAATATTTCAAGAAACTCATGTCATGTTGAATCCCATGTTTTTCTGTAATCTATGAAACATCAATAAATATCTTTCTGCATTATTCACTTATAGCATCCTGATCATAAAAATCACATTTCTTGTTCCAGTGTTCATGAGTTTTGTTGATTCGAATCCTCATGATTATTTATGTGGCTCATCAACTTGATTGTCTGATGGAATTTGCATTCATTTGGCAGTGCTATGAAGATTTACAGATCTCCTTCAGTATTTTGCCGCTGTTATATATTGCATTTTACCATGATAGTAATATCAATTCCCAAATCATCTAAGGCTGCCAGTATCTCTATGACAATCTCATCTGAGCCTGTTGCGTTGTTTCTCTTCATTTTGGCCAATACTGATCTAACTTCAGATTTGAATTCTACATGTTTTATATAACTACATTTGGCAGCAAGGCCTCTGATCAGGAGATCAGGAGAGGTTTTGAGGACAATGGAACCACCTCTTAATTGCTGTTGTTCACAGGTCCACCCTGACCCCAGGTGGTAACATCTGTTAGGTCCAAGCTATGGGCAAATAGTAAGTCCACCAAACAGAAACACTATGAAAGTATAAAAATACATTTTTATTGTAAAAATACCAGCAATACCATTTTTATATAAAATAAAACTGACAATACATAACCAACAATACATTTTATCTGTAGTTGAAGGCATAGAATTGCGTTCAAAATATATTCAGTTGAAGTCATAAAATTGTGTTCAGATTATTTATATTTCAGTATTAAATAACTCTTAGTAGTTGATACGCTAAACAAAATCAGCCAATCAACTTTCATAACATTAATCCACATAATATCCTACAATTTCAATCAACCTGTATTCCAAAATATAACTAAAAAAAAATCAACAACATAAAGCACACATATCACTGCCTCTAGTAATTATGTCCACACAAACATGTATATGATCAAAAGCTGAGTATCATCTACCATGTATTCAATTGTGAAAGCAGAATAGCATATATTTTTATTACTTCAAAGCTCCCAAGAAAATTAAATTTCAGCATTAAATAACCCATAAGCAGTTGATCATCCTGACAATTGCTTGGACAACAAAAAACACTTCTTCTCGTCTTTATCTAATATTAGTCAAACTTCTCTTTCATTTCTTTTTTTTCTTGAGTATATGATTTTGGGATTGTTGCTTATAAAATGTTTTTCCATCTTATTTTATATACTCCCAGATTGTTAATATTTGGGTTTTCCATTTTCTAACTTTTTGCATTGGTACAGTGTCCTAACATACCTTGTCCTGCTTATGATTTTATCTTTGTTGCAGATACAGGGTGCAGTGGATAAATTGTTTTCTAAATTACACAAAAATAAAAATAACACTGACATCTCATTTTAACAGATATTTTTGTGTAATTTTGGTAAATACATCTTGAAATACTAGAGTAAATTTATTCAATAAAATCGCCATTGACTTCAACAACGGCCACCAGATGACTTCGGAATCTCCTGAAACTCTTCTAGACAGTCTCTTTGTTTAAGTTGGTGAATGCTGCTATAATACTTGCCTTCAGTTCATTTTTGGTGTTACAAAGAGTTTTGTTGGTTTCTTGCTCAACTGTGCTCCACACATAATAATCAAGGAGGTTGCAGTCTAGGGAGTTAGGTGACCAGATGTAAGCGGTGATGTGGTTGCATAAATTGTCTGACAACCATGACTGTGTTCTCCATCTTGTGCAGAGTCATGTTGCCAGACATAAATAGGGTTTTCCAGCAGCCACCCTCTTGACCCAGGGTAGCACTACCTCTTCAAGGTGCTTGATGTAGGTCTCTGTGTTGAGTCTGAGGCCCTGTGGGGAAGATAAATGGAAGTATGACATTGCCATCACTAGTGATCACTCCAAACACCTTCATAATCACCATTAGACTCATCCAACTCTTTCCAAATTCTTTGCACTGTCCCCAGATTGACACCTAAACACTCTGAAATGTTCGTATTGGAGAGTCCAGCATGGATTCCAAGTAGTACAGTATGCCATTTCCAAATTTCTGGTGAAGTGAATTGTGTCATGGTGCTCTTTTTATCACAGATTGTGCCCAATTGAGCCTACTATATTGTGCCGTCATCAAAAACAAACAATGTGTATGCACAAAATTAAAAATATAAAATAGCGATAATTTACCCATCGCACCCGTTAGTCACTGTCACATATCTCTCCTTATGAGGTGAGGAGTTAGTTCTAAGGGAGCTGACCCCCTTCATGCTGTTATCTGCTATGATTATTCTTCTGAGGGTTAATGGAGTGGTTTGCCATTACCATCTCCATGGTGATTTTTATCAAAATACCAAGTAGCTGACTGTTGACTTTTGGAGTTCCTTCACCTTTTGATAGCTCCTATTTTTCTTCCTACTGATTTCCTAAGCACGTTTGCTCCTACATCAATTGCAAGCAATACATAAATTAATCTCCATACTAGCTTTAGGGATTTGTAGTAGTGTTGTATGCCCATGGATGACAAGAGACAGAAAGGACAGATGTCCATTTACTTTTAAGAATTTTAAAAATTTATTTTCTACTATATAAGTTTTAAGTTAGACAATAGCAACTTTATCTGATTTCTTGAACTTCTAAAGTTTTTCACTCCTCTGACATTAAATTTTATTGAAGGTATTTAGATATTTGTTATCTTAAGCATTGTCATCATGAATGACATTCTTTTCTTGGTTTGGTTACAGTCAGTCAACAGTGCATCTTTGATGCCTGCTGGTTCTTACTTGATCCAAAAAGTTTAAGCTTGTCAGCAATTTTAAGAATGGCTGCTGCCACTACTAATACTATTACTAAGTGTGACACTATAGTTGGGACATCCATATAAAAGACCTCAAGTTTTATAACTAGTGAGTGTTTTTTTAAGTTAGTCTTCTAAGCAGTATCCACTTTGACTAAAGGGGAACAGAAGACTAAATGAGTGCATGGGAACTTGGAGGCCAAGTAACAACAAAACCAATTATAGAGAGTTGTTGGAATTGAGACGGTTAATCTGGTTTACACTTGGTGGGAGTTATACTGTCCTTGATGTAGTTTGAATAGATTTCTTGAATATTCATGACCTTGAATAATCATTTGACTCTCGCATAATTACTTAACTGTGATTGGTTCATTTATGATTGATTAAGTGCTGCTTGATCTTGTGACTTGAAATTTAAAGGTTATTTGCAGACAACTTTTGTTTTTTGTTCTGGCCTTTTTGTATGCTTAAACAACTCACTGATTTTGAGCATCAAGTTATCATGCATTTCAAAGAAGAACATCTGACATGGGGATGGATGAAATGTGTAGAAATTCTTCCTGAATTTTTCAGTCACGTCTGTCATCACCAGTTTTCAATGATTGTCTCACATCTTTCTGAATTTATTGCCTTTTTGTACTGGGCACACTGTATAAAATAGAGGAAATCCAATAACTGTATTCATAGTTATGATTATTATTGCAATATCCTATTATAATTGTGCTTGTTCCTGTTCTGTTTTGGTCATGTGGAAAGATGGTATCAGTGAGAAAATGAAAAAAAGAAGGGAAAATAAAAGTGTTTAGCATCTCCTGCCAATACCCCTAAATAATGGACTATTCCATTTTAATGGCATGGAAAGAGAGGGGAAAGACACCACTTGGTTTCAGTGAGAAAATGAAAAAGAAAGGAGGGAAGATAGAAGTGTTTAAATTCTGTTTCAGTGAAATGGAAAAAGTTGTCAATTTCAAATCTTTTCATTTTAAAAATTGCATTTTGAAGACTTGCATTCACCCTGCCAATACCTCATAAATAATAGACTATTCTGTTTTGATCACGAGAAAAGCCAAAAAAAAAAGACTTGGTTTTAGTAAGAAAATGAAAGAAAGAAGTGTACATAGAAGTTTTTAACATCTCATAAATGATGAACAATTCCATTTTGATCATGTGGAAAGATGGAAAAGACATATCAGAGACACTACTTGGTTTCAGTAAGAAAATAAAAGAAAGAAGGAAGATAGAATTGTTTAAATGCTGTTTCAGTGAAATGGAAAATGTTGTCTATTTCAAATCTTTTCATTTTAAAATAATGACCATCATTCATATTTATGATTGTTATTGCAATGTTTTGTTAAAGTTGTTAAGCTCAAATATTTAACGATAGGGGAATTTCTAAGGATATTTTATTGTCTTAGAACTCACCATAAGTTTATTCAAACTTAAATTTATGATGAATTTCAAGTAGGAAAACTGAAATTTTCACAGGTTAAAACTAGTTTAGTTAAAGTTATTAAGCTCAAATATTTAACAATGCAACAGGGGAATTTTTATGGATATTTTATAGTCATAGAACTCAGAAGGAGCTTATTTAATCATTAAATTAAGAATTGTGATTCATAAGGAAATTATGAAAGTTTCACAGGTTACTGCTTGTTATAAGTATTGTATATATTTTATTGGTATACATAATTGCCCACTTGAAAATCTACAAAAATACATTTAAATATTTTTTTATGTTGATTTCTTGTTTTATGAGGACTTAATTTTCTAATGACAATTTCTGATCAAAATATTTCTATGTTATACTTGCATGTGAATCTGATAATGATAGTTTACATTGCTTAGTTTTGATTTTCTTTAATAATATCTTTTTTTCCTTTTCTATGGCTTATCAACCCTTTACAGATTATTTAAAGCCAGAAAATAGTTTTAGATTGTAAGAATTTTTTTTTGAGTTAATAATGGTTTAGTGAAACAAGTCTCATCAATTAACCCATAGTGGAGGACCAGAGATAAATTCATACTTTTCCCAAGGGTATTTGCGTGTAAGTGAATATAATGAACCCAACTGGGATTGGAACTCTCTGATTAACAATTATGAGCCATTATTCATTACAGCACCTGATATTCCCAAGTGATCACCCATCTAGTTACTGACTAGGCTTAATGTTGCTTAACTTCAGTGATTATACAAGAACTGGTATTTCAGTCTGATGTGGCTATAAGCCTTTAATAATATTTGACAGTTTCACTGGTATCTAAGAAAAGACTTTTTAAAAAGAATATGTTTACCTCCTCAAAGATTAGCTCCTGGTAATTCTGGTTATACAGGTATATTAAATTCTTTAAAAACAAAACAGCCTTCAGTAGATGTTACTTCGGTGGTGGGTGATGAAAACTTTATATAAATTTTGTTGTACTTATCAGTATTAGATAGGGATTTCTTAGAAGTGGGTAACAATTCAAAAATTCCCTTGGCTTGTTTTAACACCATGGAAAGTTTTGTAGATAAGCTGTTTTAATAATTAAACATCTTGTAAAAGTTTATATGATTCTGTATCATTTGAAATTAAATCTACAACTGTAAATTAAAATAAGTTACAGAAGTAGGCATTTTTATTTTGTTCCCGGAAGAATAGAAGAAATAGTTTATAATTTACAAAGAGAAGAATAGATCTTGAGTAATAAATGTTTGTAATTTTAGTTGCCCCCTCAATAATTAAAAACATAAAATCTGACATTTTTAAATTAGAGTAAAGGACATTTGCACAGCATTGTTCTCAGTCTCTTTTTCACTTTTGTATTCCATCATGGAACGCTATGTTGAAACAATATAAATAGGTGTTGAACAGTAAGGTTTGAAGTTCATTCATTTCTAGGATTAGAACAAAATGCTTGTGTCAGTGGGCTTACAGTCATATCACATTGAAACACTGGTTCTCGTTTGATCACCAAAGTTAAGCAACATTGAGCCTGGTCAGCACTCCAATGGGTAAACTCTACAGAATGCCAGGTATTGTAAGCTATGCAACAGGCCTAGAAAGCTAGTGATGGATATGATCTCACTACTATGCGGAGGTGCTTCTGGACTTGACAGATCACAAGACCTACCTGGAGTTTAGTGAGTTCTAGTGGCTACCATCATTAAGTCATTACATGTTGATAATGAAAATAGTTTTAGTAAGTGTAGCTTTTTTTTAAGTTTCATAGCCATTAAGGAAATGGAATGCCGTGTGCAATTATATCCATGTATTTATATCTCAATTTACTTTTTGTTTTTGAAAAAAAAATTAACAATCTGAAAATTTTTCTGTTGTAGGTTGTACTGATGAACTGGATTTTGGTGAAAATATAAGTCTTCAGTATGAAGTGAATCAGTTACGAAGTCAGGTTCATAGACTGCAATCAGAATGTCAGCATTGGAAAGCAGTTGCTTCACAGATGGTAAAGAATCTTATGCACTTTTTCTTATTCATTTCATTCCTGACTTATTTAAATTTAAACCCATGAAATACTGGCTTTGAAAATGTTTCCTGTGAATAAAGTTTAATATCCAAGGCCAATAATTTATAATTTTCAGTAATTAGCAATATTTTATTCATTGTTTAGTTAAAGAAATTAAGTTTTGTGATATTTTTAAATGTTTAGAAGCCACATAAAATAACTGAGCAGTATACTTTAGAGATGAGATATTTGGTGCACAAAAGTTCCCAGAGATCTCTTTTATTAAACTAGAGACTGAATACAGAGTAGAAAGACAGCATTCAGTGTTCACTCATTGAATGTTGAGGTGAAGAAAAATATCAATGGCCAAGATATGTATACGATAATGCATGTTCCTTTTCAAATTGAGTAAGGCAGAAACAGAAGTGATGCTGACTGATAAAGTTTATGGAGTTGGTTTGCTTGAAGATATGGCCTTAAACTGCTCTCTTTTAATCATTTGAGAGAACCCTTTTTACCTTCCATTAGCATGGCTGATGCTAACCTCCAGGAAATTGACTCATTGCCCCTTCTTGGATTAAGGTTTTCAATTGACACAAAGTGGAAAGATTATATTGAATCAATTGCTAAGTCTGCAACTAAGAAAGTTGGTTCACTGTGTCATTCTAAACAATTTTTCTCATCAGAATCTATCTTTCATATTTATTTGTTATCCTTTGAATTTTGCTGTCACATTTGGTCTGGTGCTCTTGCTATATATTTAGAGATTCTTGATAAAAATCCAAAGAAGAATCTGCAATGTTGTTGGTTCTGACCTGGCATCTTGGCTTCAGTCCTTTTCCACCACCTCAGTGTAGCTTCTCTATAAATACTTTCATGGAAATTGTTCTGATGAACTTTATGTTACCTAGACTGTGAATTTAGTAGATTGGTGGCAAGGTCTCATCATTTTATAGTTGAAATGGCTAGATGTAAATTCTATACTAACAGTTTCTTCTATCGCACTTCTCACTTGTTGTTGTAGAGTGATTTCACAGTGGAGGCTTGTATTTCACTAAGTTGGTCCTAAAAGATTCGACGTACAAAATGTTAGGAACTTGAATTAATAGTTAATGATGTAGTAATCTAGTTGTGGTGGTTGATACTTTAATGTCCGACATCGACTGACTCACCAACTCACTGAGCCACTTAGCGACTGCTACTACTCGTACTTATTATAGGTGGGAGAGTCTATTAACAATAGAATAGGTGTGTTCCAGTATAACACTTGTGGAACTCTCTTCTGGCTTCTTGCTTCCCAGTCAACTTTGATCTTTCAAAAATTTAGATTTTTTTATTGTCCTCTCTCCTTAAGCTTTACAAATCTGCAAGCGTACATGTCTGCTGGCGATACTCTTTTCTCGATGTTCTCTGGGCGGACAGGTTCACCGAGTGACAGAGCTTTGTTTCAAATAGAAAGTACGTTTCTAAAAATAACTTATTAATATGGAAATTATGTCATCACAAGCATACGATCACCTGTGGCTACTAGTGTTTTCCCATACTCCTGGACCTACAAATGTTGTGAAAACAAAATTAGGTGACACAGCAAAAACCCAACTCACAAATCACAGCCTGGAAAAACATTTGCTATGAAGAAATGAAAGTATTTTTGGCCTTCCTTTTGTTGATAGGTTTGACAAAGTGACTTTCATATTTGTCTTACTGGACAACAAACCCCGTTTTATATATGCAAAGCTTTCATGATGTGATGAGTAGGAATTGTTTTTTATCAATTCTATCATATTTTTTTTAGTTTTCATGATTTTTATTTTATTTCTTCAAATTTTATATATGTACAGTAAAAAAAAATATGTCTATATTTTCTACATACATGATGCAAATGCACTGAACTTTTATAACAATATCTCTAAAATCCTAAAAGTTACAGTTCTAGTAATATACCCACCATTCAAAAATTTACCGAAATTTAGTGTGAAGTTGTAAAGGTTAGTAGCAGTTTTTCTCATATTCTGAGTAACCTCTTGTGTCCTAGCAGCTTTATTGCATTGCTTGAAGTTAAATGATTAAAAAAAATGTTGGGAATGGTTTCTGAAGTTTGAGAAAGATAAATTTCACTTGGAAAATTTCTCTATGTAGTTGTAAACCACAAGAATTGCAAGCTCTTTTGAATGATTTCTGCCATGCAATCACTATTGGAATTGGCTAAAAAACTTGGTGTTCAACAGTTGTAAGATATTTTCCAAAGCAACAGGAAGGTTAAAAAAGTGGAAAAATGGGTTCTCTATGAATTGTTAGAGCAAACCATTAGACTGTCTTCAAATACATTTATTTTTTTCTTTAATCATTTTACCCTAAGCAAGGCAATAAAGCCACTAAGATGCAAGGAGTTACTGAGTGTTACATAATATGGGAAAAAGAAAAACATTATTAAGGAGACAGGCCAATAAAGAACAGGATTTAAGAAGACAGAAGCTACCATTGACATTGCATTTAGATTTTTGAAGATTGTTTGGAAAGCAAGAGGCCAGAAGAGAGTTCTCCATGCAATAAGTGTGAGAGAAGAAACTGTTAGCAGAAAAGTTAAGGTTATATCTAACCTTTTCAACTATAAAATGATGAGACCTAGCAGCCAATCTAGTCTTTTTATGTGCCTTGTCCCTTCAGGATATAGTTGATCATGGCTCACCACTTCCTTCTGTCCTGTGTAGCTCACAATAAGTTTTTGTCTTTTTGTTATTTCTCTCAGACCCTGTTCTGCCATCCACTTAAGTCTGTTAAGTATGCATTGCTTTCCCTTGTCCCTCTTTCCCTCTATTTGCCCTGTGAGTAGCAGATTTTCCAAACTCTCCTTTCTCATTATGTGTCCCAGAAATTTCAGTTGCCTCTTCCTGATGTTAAGTATAGTTTCCTCTTTGTATCCTCTCCAAAACCTTATGGTTGCTTACATGGCATTCTTAGCATCCTTCTGTAGAGCCACGCCTCTGTTGCCTCAAGTCTCTTCATCATCTTTGAGGAGATTGTCTGACATTTGCTGTCATAAAGGAGGACAGGTATCATGTAGCAGTTCAGTACTCTTTTCTTTTTTTACCAACGAAACCCTCTTGTAATACTTTGCCTAACTTTAGGAATGTGTCTGGCCATCCAAATATGTCTTCAGATCTCAGTGTTGCAATTTCTGTCCTCTGTCAGAACACTTTCCCAGATATTTAAATTTCTGCACCTGCTTGATTTTAGTATTCCCGATCTTTAAATCACATTTCAAGCTCATTTTTTTGCTGGTGACCATGCCTTCTGCTTTTTTGTAGTTTATGCTTAGTCCCTTCTTCTCGCTCTCCTTCACTGACTACGCTTAAATTACCATGAAGATATTTATAGAAAAGGCACAGAGAAGCTACATTATCGCGTGGGAAAGTCACTGAAGCTGAGAAGCTAGGTCAAGATTGACAATATTGCAGATTCTTCTTTGGATTTGATCAAGAATCTCTAAGTACATAGCAGAATCACCAGGCTATGTGTATCAGCAATATTCAAAACATAGATAAATGGTAGACTTATAATTGTTTAAGATAGATTCTGTTGAGAAAAATAGTCTAGTATGACATAGTGACATAGCAATTGATTCAATATAAACATTAGCCTGAGAAGACACATTGAGTGATTCAGTTGATGGAAGGCAGAAAAAAAGTTATCTCAGTTGATTAAAAGAGAGCAGTTTCGTTGAAATTAACAAGTTTTTTCTTGTGCCAGTTAAGAACAGATTGTTGGTCATTTTTGAGATCAGCTGACAGTTTGACCTTATCGAACCGATCAGACTTGTAATTAAGGCAGGAATAAATAGTTATGTCATCAGTATTAATTCTGAGTTGAGAAATGATGATATTGGGTTGGTCATTGATGAAAATTAGGAACAATGTAGGTCCAAGAATCGAGTCCTGGGAGAGATTCGCATTAATGTAAAAAAACCCAAAAAAACCTAGAAGAGTGGCTGTTTAAGACAACTTTAATTTTGCAATTTGATAAGAATTAAATCCAAAAATTTGTCCAGAAATACTTTAACCTTTTAACTTGTGAAGAAGACAAGGACATATAGATATAAGATATCCAAGACAATAGCCTTTCTTATGTAAAGTCTTATGTAAAGCTTGATTTGCTCTTTCAGCAATAACTGTTAACACATCAGCAGTCAAACTGCTTGTCTGAGATGCTTAACCAATTTGAAGTTGATTAGAGCCTCTTGTACTTTGCCAAAAAGAAATAGTAGGATATTATTATATAGAAGGATCAGATGGTTTGTTTGCGTTCTTAAAGACTGGAACTGCAGAAGAGAAACAAAGAAGCAAGAAGCAGGAAAGCATTTATTGTAGAGTTTAGAGAGAACAGGATTCAGTTGAGAAGCACATTTCTTAAGGACTTTTGCAGGGATACCATCAAGTCCATATATAGAGATGATAGCAGAAACAAATCATGGACACAGTTATATGAGTGTCACATTTTAGAAACACAGTTCTAAATGAAAAGTCAGGCAAAGATGCTTCAGATAAGTCAAAAGTAGAATTGGAAAAGAATTTAGGAGTAAAAAATTCAGCTTTATCAGCAGAATATGATAACACCACAAATTGAATGAATAGAGGAGGATGTTGTTAAGTAATTTTCACAGTGGAGGCTTGTATTTCGCTAAGTCGGTCCTAAAAGGGTCTGACGTACAAAACGTTAGGAACTTGAAATAATAATTAATGACGCAGAATCTAGTTGATACTTTAATGTCCGACATCGACTGACTGACTCAACTCGACTGAGCCCAACTGGTGACCGCTACTACTACTACTTATTATGTGTGGGAGAGTCTATATAGAATAGGTAATGTTCTAGTATAACAGAGGAATAGAAAAGTATCAATGCTGGCTTTTACCCAAGAAGAAACTGCAGTGGCATAATTCTCAATAGGAAGTTTAAAAATTTACAGATACCAGACAAGAACAAATTAAGGTTAAAAATTT